TGTATAACTCCTATAATTTCAATTTTATTTCCTTTTCGTAGATTCATTTTCATGTATTGTTCTTGGTCAAAATTTAAAATGTGTATTTGTAATTTATACGTTCCATCAGTAATCGATCCGCATCCTATTATTGTGTTTAATTTATTATTAAATTCAGATTCAAAATTTGTTTTAATATAAACTTACAAGTCTGCAAAATACATGTAACTTTAATTAATATATGAATGTGTTAATGTTATTGTTGTTAAGTTATTACATTATTATTATTATTTAAAGTAATTGATTCGCATCCGATTGTTTTATTTAATTTATTATTGAATTCAGGTTTAAAATTTATTTTAATATATACTTCCAAACTTGTAAAATATATTCAATATTAAATCAACATAAATGCGTTATCATGTTATTTTATTATTGTTATTGTTGTTATGTTATTATTATTGTTTAATTGTTGTCGTTTTATTATAATATTCTGTACTATATATATTAATAATTACACAATGCTTACTGATACATTCAGATGTATCCATTACTTCGCTCAAAGTGATGCGTTTAGCTATTATTGTAGCTATTTTAGACTCGTATTTTCCTAAATTTGATACTTTTGTATTTTTTCTAATATGTAATTCATACGGCAAATTTCCTGCACTATATATATATATATACTAATTTTTGGGGTTCTCGCTTGAACTCCATCTAAGTTGATAATCTATTAAATAAAAATATTATAATATTATGTATATATATACAGGGTGTCTTATAACTAATCTGGCAGAGCTCGTGGAGACATAGAGCGGGTTAAGACAAATATAAAAGTCCCATATCGTTTTGTGAGATTCGCAATAATCATCGAGTTATTAATGACAGAAATCTGAGGAATGAGTGCACGTCGAGACGTTATGGGAGGAGCATCTAGCCGCTCAGGCTAAAGAGTCCTGCCATTCGACAAAAGAACTGTTTCCGGCACGCGGCGAGAGGAAGGACGACGCGCCAATGTTTATGTCCTTACCTCGCCGCTCCTACATCCCGCCGCACCGCGTCTAAGCTCGCGCCGATATGGCCGCTGAATATTCGCGATTACAATTATGAGATTATTTCATGAGGTACCACAGATAGCTCATATTGAATTGTAAAGTTCAAAATTCAAAAGTTCTTTGATCAAGGAAAACATCGAAAAGTAAAAAGCGATAGAGAGCGATGAGATCTACAGAGATTCTCATCGTTTCCTATCGCAATCTATCGTTTTGCTGCATATTTTGACACGTTATTTTTATGCGTGTCAAAATAACACACTCGGATTTGCGTTGTATCGCGATTATACCTAGGAATCAATTTTATGCCGAGTATCGTTGGTGCACCATTGACAACGATGGTCCTCTTTTCGCAATTGTACGATACAGAATTTTCAGTTCCTTCTGTCGTTAATATACCACTGACAAGAATTACGATATAAGACAACAATTTATGCATGATATATGGTAAAAATGTTTGGTCCATGATACAGCTTGCAAATGAAATATGAACGATACAGAGAAATATTAACTGAAAATATTAACACTGAATCTAATTCATCAAGGTTTATGGTTAACTTAAACAAAATTGTGCTTTCTTCAATCAAAATTTCTTAATCGTTCTCTCTCTCACTCTCTCTTTCTCTCTCATTTCGTCAGAAAATGGGTTCATTCAATCACACATATTTTCCGTGTAGACTTGAATAAAACGATAGGACACGATGAGTCTCTACGCGAATTCTATCATACTCTAACAATTAAATATTCTCCTAACGATAGAATACAATAGAGTACGATGAAAAGTGTTCATCGTACTCTATCTTTACGCGATATCGTTTCTTTCGGATCCGATGCAGCAAAACGATAGATTGCGATAGAAAACGATGAGAATCTCTGTAGATCTCATCGCTCTTTATCGTTTTCTCCTTTTCGATGTTTTCCTTGATCAAAGAACTGTTGAATCCCGAAATTTACAATTCAATATGAGCTATCTGTGGTACCTCATAAAATAATTTCATAATTGTAATCGCGAATATTCAGCGGCCATATCGGCGCGAGCTTAGACGCGGTGCGGCGGGATGTAGCGGCGAGGTAAGGACATAAACATTGGCGCGTCGTCCTTCCTCTCGCCGCACGCCGGCAACAGTTCCTTTGTCGACTGGGCAGTGCTCTTTAGCCTGAGCGGCTAGATGCTAGATCCTATAACGTCTCGACGTGCACTCATTCCTCAGATTTCTGTCATTAATAACTCGATAATTATTACGAATCTCACAAAACGGTATGGGACTTTTATATTTGTCTTAACCCGCTCTATGTCTCCACGAGCTCTGCCAGATTAGTTATAAGACACCCTGTATACATATATATATATATATATATAATATATATATATATATTATATATATATATATATATATAGTATATGTATATAATTATTTGTATTTTTAAATTAAATAAAATTACCGAATTAGGTCTGATATAATCTTCGATGCGTTTAATTTCATCGTTCCACGCTATAACTTGTACTCTTTTTCCCATATTGTTATTTAAGAAAAATTTAAAAAATTTATATTGTTGGTTCGCTCCAACGATTCGAGGTGCTTCCATGCCATCAACAATAAGCACCGGTATTGATTTTTCCGTGGCACATCTCATCACATCGTCTGCTCAGCATCAGCTGATCGGCAATCAAATGACATGTGTCATAACATACCGTGACGTATACCAACAGTATTCTCATATATATCTACACACATATTTAACAATCGAGCTAATTTTATGCATGCAAGTGTCGTTTTATGCCCCCTAATAGAGCGTTTAAGTAGAAATTCTCTATGCGGTCGCGTTCAAAAGTGCGCTCTAAGACCTTGACATGCAATTTTCTCTCCAAACGGTGCCTATTTTGACACTAATTATTTAATATCTGGCGTTCTAATTGAGATAGCGTATTCGTTCCACGTCGAGCAAGTCACGATTTCTGTTTTCTTTCTGAAAATTCTAGCAGTCTTGTCCCCGGATGTCTAGGGAAAATTTGAACTCAGCAAAGTGACATCAACTTGTTGCTACTCGCTCAATTTATGAGTATTTTCATATATTACTGCTAAACTACTTGTCCTAGATTGCTAATATTTGGTGTGCAGGTTCCTTTCACGAACCCCTAATGGCACACCAGAGGACGAATGTCTCCCGTCCTCAGGAACAAAGTTGGGTTTTGGACACTATGTGCTCGATTTTTGTTGCAACACCTTTAATTTGGTCACTAAATAATTTATTTCTCGCGTTGTAGGTGCGATAATCTATTCGTTCTACATCGAGCAAGCCCGGTTTTTTGTCTATTTTCTTAAAATTTTAGCAGTCTTCGTCTCGAATGTGCGGCGAAAATTTTAACTCAACAAAGCGACATCAACTTGTCTCAACTCGCTCAATTCCTGAGTCTTTTCATATGCTACTGCTAAACTAATTGTCACAGAGAGTTGGTATTTAGTGTGCAGGTCCCTTTCAGGAACGACTAGTCGCATACCAGAGGACGAATGTCTCCTATCCTCGGGAAAAAAGTTGGGTCTTGGACACTATGTATTGAATTTTAGTTGAAATGTCTTCGATTTGGACCCAAAATAATTAATTTCTCCGGATCTAACAGAGATAATTGGATGTTTCTTGCGCGAGCAAGTCAGATTTTTAATCTATTTCCTGAAAATTCTAACGGCTTCGTCGTCAGTTGCATAGAAAAAATTTTATCCGACAAAAGTGATGTTATTCTATTGTATCGTAACTCGCTCAATTTATGTTACAAAATAATTAATTTCTTTTGACCCCTTTAAGCTAGATGACTGTTTCTGGTGTCTACAGGTCAGGTTTTTCGTCCTCTGATTGAAAATTTATATTACTAGATCCCCAATCGCACAGGGAAAATTTTGTTCCGAGAAAGCTACTTCTTTGTTCTGTTGCAGCTGTTTCGACACTGAATCTATTATACTGAATATCTTTGGAACCGATTGCACTAACGGTTCTGAGCTCGTTGAGCTCAGTTTAGCGTCTACTCGTAGGTTTTTACAGTAGGAAATGCGTCTCACGCTCTGTTCAGCATGCACTAAGCAATATCTGCTGTACCTGTCACTTTGTGAGGTTATGACTCACTTCGCGTGCTTCTACCGGTACTATACCTCGGTGATATGCAAGTTGCTATTAATATTACTTGGTTTTGGACATACTGTCGCGGTGCCACACCGGTTTCTCGTCGGTTTCTCTGCGGTCAACGGGGCTTTCCTTCGTCCTTTTCTACCTGTGCCTGCACCGCTTTATCCGTCGGCTCGCGCAGTGTCCACAGAAGTTTTCGATTGTCCTTCACTTCGCGCACGTGCACCAGTATTTCTCGTCGGATTTTTCGCACCGTACGCGTTATATTTCCCGAGATTTCCAACGCGCGCGTCCACCGGTCCGTTCCGCCGGCTTCTTCCCGTCCGCGCGTAATGGCGTCTCTCCCATAGACATATAATATATAGACCACGCATTCGCAACGTTTCCTTTGTCTGCACATGTTCAATATTAGAAAGAGGTAGTATGCTTTCGTAGAGCAGTCTGTCTCTTTCTAACGATGCGTGGTAGCGTATTTGGCCCCTCCGCCTGTTTAGAGTGGAGTGTTATGTCTCCGGTTCTCCTTCTTTTCGTGAAACAAAGCGTATATAAACAAGACGATTGACATTAAAGATTATAAAACGTATTTACTCATAATAGTATAATCATAACACAAAAAGTATAATCGTAACACAATGAGTCTATATTATTATGTATGCCGCAGTAAAGCTAAAGCTAAGACTCCATGCATGCGGTGAGCTGCGGCAAACGGCTGCGGAAAGCGACTCCATATGCGCGGCAAAGGTTGCGTCACATCATTATTCCTTCAGTTTGGTCAATCAATGGTTACTCTATTCGTTGAGTTTTGGAACGCAGCCCATAGTATTGTGTATATAAAAGCGCTTCGAGTGACAACAATGTAAAAATTATAACAAAACAAAATAGAATTAATAAATTATTAACAAAACAAAACATAAAAATTATTAACAAAATAAAATATAATCGAAATAAATAATAAAATAAGAATGAATCGCGATGAAAAGCTTGTTTTGCTATTGTACCTGCGAAGAAAACGACGATTAAAAAGGCAAGAACAAGTCATTCGGAGAACAGCTCGATGGTGGGTTCATCCTATGATAGAGCAACGTTATCTTCAAGGTGCTTACGATAATCTTGTGCTTGAACTTCGACGTGACACAGAACATTTTTTCAATTTTCATCGCATGTTACCTCATCAATTTGATAAATTATTAACGATGATAGAACCTATTATTTCAAAAATATATGTGACAAGGGAACCGTTGCATCCAGGACTGCGCTTGTCATTAACGTTACGATATCTTGCATCTGGAGATAGTATGATAAGTCTACATTACCTCTACCGCGTAGGTAAATCTACTGTGCCACGGATAATTGTAGAAACAACGAAAGCACTTTGGCAGGTACTGCAACCTCAAGTACTTCCTCCGCCAAATGTGGAAACATGGTCCAAAATTGCAGAGGATTTTGAAAATAAATGGAATTTTCCAAATTGTGTCGGAGCAATTGACGGAAAACATGTTACTATACAATGTTTTAAAAATACAGGATCAGCTTTTTACAATTATAAAGGCACTTTCAGCACAGTCTTAATGGGAGTTGCTGATGCTAATCTTCGCTTTACATATGTAAGCATTGGTTCTGCTGGTAGAGAAAGTGATGGAGGTATTTTTCAAAATCTGGCTTTTGGAAGATGCATTGAGACAAATACACTGCCATTACCTGTACCTAAAGCCTTACCAGGTATAAATATTTGCCTTCCTGCTGTATTTGTTGGTGATGCAGCATTCCCATTATTGAATAATTTGTTACGACCATACCCTGGTGTTAACTTGAGTGCAAAACAAGTTATTTTCAATTACCGCTTGAGTAGAGCAAGGCGTGTAGTTGAAACATTTGGAGTAATGTCAGCCAGGTAGAGAATATTTCGACGACCAATTGTAGCGTCACCTTCAACTGTAGATAATATAGTTAAAAGTTGTGTGGCACTACACAATTGGCTTCGAGATTCAGATCTGAAAGTTTTACCTAGTCAGAGAAAATATATTCCAGTAGGATTTATAGATGAAGAAGATCACTTTGGAAATGTAGAACCTGGTCAATGGCGAAACGAAGCACCATCTGGTGCACTTAGAGATTTAGCACCAAATATAAGAAGAAACTCAGCAAATGACGCCAAGATAATACGAAATACATACGCAGATTATTTTATGAAGCAAGGTTACGTACCTTGGCAATGGAATAAGCTACCAAACTTTCAACGAGAAGCATACATGCAACAGGCAGAAGGTAAATTGATTGCAACACATAATTAATATAAAAGTGCAATCGATTAATTTTTATTTTGTTCCTCTGTTATAACTTGAGAAAGTATTTGTAGTACAAGTGTCTTTAAGCGTAATTTTGCGTTTACGTTTAGTTGCTGTGAATCCCGAGATATAGATAAATAAAAAAGATCGTCTGAATTCACAGTATCTGCCGAATTTTGTTTTCCCACTAAATTTAAAATTGCTTCATCAACCGCATCTATACCCGTTTCAGACAATTGTCTTTTTGCTGAAAAAGAAAATAAACATTAATAATATAAATATATATTTTATCAAATTTTTGCAATTATGTCGTATAAAATCATTATTATTTTATAGTAAATTTGACACATTAATCAACTATATATATAATAAATTAAATTTAAATTACTTAATTAAGAATTAAACAGTTTGTTCAGTGTGTGTACTTTACAACTGATTTACTTGAATATCTTATTTATACAGTGCATGTATGTACACGCACTGAACAAATTGTTTAATTCTTAATTAAATAATTTAAATATGCCGTACAATTTTGCACAAATAAAGAAATATATATTTAATAAAAATATTAATTTACTTCGTTTTGCACATTTGCTGGCTGTAGGCTGATTTTGAGAATGACTACTCATTCGATGACTAGTCTGAGGACGAGACGAGACACTATCAGGACGAGGAGAAGCACTATTAGGACGAGAGGAGGCATAATGAGGACGAGGGGAAGCGCTATTAGGACGAGGGGAGGCGCTATTAGGACGAGGGGAGACACTATCAAGACGAATCAAAGCACTGTTAGAACGAGACAAAGTATTATTAGGACGAGGAGAGGCACTATTAGAAGGACGAGACGGCATATTTAATGAATGCGGTGAACAAAAATCTGTTTGTTCTGTCTGTCTTATGTTATCCCACATATTGTCTGTAAAATAATGTTTAAAAGAATGTAATGAAATGTTTATTAAAATATGTTGTACTTAAAAACAATTTTCTTTTATAAAGAAAATTGTTTATAAAGAAAATTTCCTACTCAACAATATAACAGTTATATTGTTGATACAGGTACAGGGGAACTGTAGGACAAAAACTGTAGGACAGTTTCAAATACTTTCATATAACATCGTAGCATAGAGTTATTCACACTACTATCTTTTGTTCCTCTTACCTTGAAACTCTTCTTGTATGTTGTACATATATTCTTCAGATTGAAAAGTCTCCAAAGATGTTGGTGATGTATCGCTTCTAGATAAGGGATGTTCTAAACTTTCGAAGTTTGTTATAGTCCTAATTGAGACATTATAAAAGTTATTACTTTACTTGAGAACATACTGTTTATGAAAATGAGAAACTGACAATTACATTCGTTATTGAAATAAAAACAAAAATTAATATCATAAATTTTGTATCAACTAGAATAAAATTATTATAACTTCACATTTGAAGAAAGTATAACACCTACTTGCGAGGTTCCACTGTATCGGATAAAAAATGTAAATGTTCCATAAATGACTATGGTACAAAATGAACAGCTGCTTGCCCACTTTTTGTTACAGACTTTTTTTTCTCCTTTATATACCGATCTCGAAGATTTCTCCAACGGTTCTTCACAAACTCCTCTATTTAAATTATATAAAACCATATATAATCCATACATATACATTGTTTTTATACACATTTTCAAATAATATATACTAATAATTCAAATAATAACACAATAATAATACATACCAGTCATATTAAGTTCGTGGGCAACCTCACACCACAATTTTTTTTTCAGACCATTATCTCGGTAGCACTTATCATTCAAATCCCACAATTGTGGGCGGTTTCTTACATAATGGATTATTAACTCATTGATACCCTCAGTACTATATTCCGTATATGAATAGTCCTCACTTATTAAATCCATGTTTGTGTATCATATGACATATAACGTAACCTACAAAAAGGATGGTTGTAAATTCACTACTTTTTGCGTTCTCAAATTCATCCAACGCACGTATGACGTGCGGCACAGTGCGGAAAAATTAAAATATTTTAATCGCAACGCAGTGCGGTGCGGCATGCCGGAGCTTGCCGCAACCGGACCTGCGCTTCCCTCCTGATTGGTCACCGCAGCATTTGCCGCAGCTCACCGCATGCATGGAGTCTTAGCTTAATGCATATGAAAGTGACAGATTATTTTCCACTGGTATGTAATTATATCCATCGTCATATGTCCATATTCATCATTTTTCCATACAAAATCATAATTTTTCCATATGCGTGTATTTATATCAAACGTATTTTCTTCTCTTTGCCTTTCACAATTCTCCTTTCTCTATATTCTCCTATTTCTGTTTCCTCTGTCACGGAAGACTGCTACTCCCACCACGCATCGTTAGAAAGCGATAGATTGCCCAACGAAAGCATGTTGTTTCTTTCGAATATAGAACGCCCCCTCCGCTGAACGCGCGGTCTATTTATTATACGTCTATGGTCTCTCCAGGAACTACTTTTCCCTCTCCGCGTAGTAACACACGGTCAATCCGAATCTTCCTGCAACGGCGACTATTCTTACAAGGCGGAAACGGCTATCTCACTCGAATTTATGAATCTTCTCGAATATTCGACGACTAGGCGTGACGTCCTGTTACGGTCGCCATTGATAACTGCCTGTTGTCTCGTGTATGCATCGGCCTGCGAACCTATGCGGTATCTCAGGGTTGCCAGGTTCTAGAAGTATCAAAGCGCCAATTCTGAAGATCCAAGCCGCCACCTTGCGCCAAATTTAGGATAGAATCCGTTTAGCTCTGCAAGTACTTCAGAGCGATGGTTAGACTAGTGTCCCTAGGTTAGACTAATCATATCGCTTTATTTGATAATTCGAAGCATTCGCAGCGTCGAATGGACCATAAGGCCGTTCACGTCTTGACGGAAAAAAAAACGGAAATGCAAAAAGCTAATTAGAACTTGCGTCGAAAAGCAGAAACTATCTATTACCAGAGAGGAACCTGAGAGCGGCCAACACGGCGTTTTCGGCGACACCGATTTTTCGCACTGGGAATGGGCGCTATCTGCATCCATTTTGAGAGGGGACCTACGATGCTATATCTACTTTTAGGTCTCGACGGTAAAACCTGCATCTGGTGGCTGTCCGTGTTACATCCACTTTCAGGCGGTTTATGTCAGTGCTACAACCACAATAGCGTACTTGACAAGCACGGTCTCGCGTATTGTTATGCATTTGTACATGAATTAACATGTTAACATGCACAAAAAAATAAGAATTGAGATTGTATATGACTAATATCATGAAGATTATACACGATTTATATCAACATATAAATATATGATAATAAGATAATATTTTGTGTGTACCCAAAATTATTTTTTCAAAATATTTCAGCGTTACGTTAGTATTTATTTATACTCCGGCAGGCGTTTCTTAGCGCAGTTGTGTCCATGTTGCATTGAAAATGAGCGTGACGTACGTGTGCACGCACGCACGCACGCACGCACGCACGCATATATATATATATATGCGTATATATTATATATATAATATATATATGTATGTGTATATAAAACACATAAACATATATATTTTGAAGCGATTATTAAGGGGTGAAAAATTATAATTATAATAAAACACGAGGGTACGCTCCAGCTGACATCTTACGTAGCGACGGGCCTTAGCGATCCGCGATCGTCGCCTCGGCCGCTGAGCGCGGAGCGGTGGAACGGGAACGGTGGGTGTCACCGCTTGAAATCCGGCCGAAAAGGGCACTTTGTCTCCAGCTCTGCTTTACTTGTATCTTTTATCGTGTCATTGCTAATAACAAAAGGTACAACTTTGCAATTTGTAGCATTATCACATGAAAGCCTATTGTTTATCCCTAATGGGACCTATAGCCTATGATGTATGCAATTGTTTCAACTGTAATTGCGATCTACGAAATTGAAGGTTATATACATTTTTTGTATTATGAAAAAATAATATGTACTAGAAAGAAACATCATTTTTTAATATGTTATAAACTGTACAACACATTATTGATGCAATATTGAGGTACAAGCGAAGAAGAAGATGAAGAAAATATATTTCGTATTTTATTTAACTAATATTTTTTGAGATATTTAAGGAAAACTGAATAACTTATTCAATATTAACTCACAATGTCTCGCTAACTATTTGTCGGAAGAAGAAGTGGTATCAGACTTTTTTGCTCTATTTAGTCTCAAGAATATATTTTTACTATAGTGCTTGACTTTTGTTAATTTGGTAATTTTTTGAAATTTCAAAATCATTAAATTAACCAAATTCAGGGCGCTATTGGAATAATATATTCTTATATTAATATAATTCTTATATTATTATAATTCTTGAGATTCTAAATAAAGCAAAAAGATCTAGTACCACTTTTTCTTCTGACAAATAATTAGCGAAATATCGTGAATTAAATATTGAAAAAGTTAAGTTTTCCTCAAATATCTCAAAAAATAAGTGAATAAAAAAATATTTCAGACAAAAGTTGTTCAAATCAATTGCTAGAAAAAGACGATGTAATAAAAAATGGGGTATCCATTTAAGATTTTTATGTTGATCTTGACTGGATTTTTCAAGGATATCCCAATATCACATTCATAGCATCAATAAATAGATCCTTTGAAGCCATACAACTTTAATTTTAAATATTTTTCTCTAAAATATCGCGTTAACGAAAAATCGGGTGAACCGTGTGGTCTGGAACACCCGGTATATTGGATTATGACGATGGAAACGTGGAAATGCATGTCAAAGGTTCCTGTGATTTACGGTTAAAGAAAGAAATATATCATAAAAATTGTAATGGCCGAACTCCGCGGTTCGGCCACTGCTACGCGTTTCGCGCGGATAATGCTCGTCGGAGTTCGGATTCGAGGAGGAGTAAAGCAGCGAGACACCTGATAATGACAATCGAAATAACTTAGTTTTATTGTATGCTTACTGGGATACAAGAGTTCGGCCCCGAAGGCGGTGTCGCGGGTTGCGTCTATAAGGCGCGTCGGTACGGTACGGTGCGGTGCGGTGAGCGGTACAAGCGCTCGTACGGACGGATAGGCCGTGCGGAAGGCGGGGCCTATTGCGCGACGCGTGTAGACGGTAACGACGGTAACGACGCGGTGATCGGTCACGCTTCGCGACGCTGGGCGTCTCGAACAATTATCGCCCAATACTCGCTTCGAAATCGCTCGCGTATAAATGGTCGCCGGACCGGAGATTTCGATTCCCGGTCGAACGCACGCACTCAAGTCGCGGGGTACGCGAAATGATTTCGTCCGTCGAGGCCGAGGACCCTCGACAGAGAAGGCGTACGCACTTTCCCTTTTCCTTACGTTCGCGGAGGAAAGCGACCAAGTGCTGCGGACACTCAGCGGAGACGGCGAACGCACCGTCCCGAGTTCTTGGTCGCTAGACGGATCGCCTAAAGGCTGAGTACGCTCAGCGGAGTTCGCCGACGGACGAACCCCTGACTCAAGGCGGCGGGTAAAGGCGAGAGACTGTCGAGTACGCTCGACTGAGCACGCGCACGCACGAGCCCAGGAAGACGGGAGGCGGCCAAGTATCGAGTACGCTCGATCGAGACTGCGGACGCACAATCCCGTTTGCTTAGTCGCCGGTCGGGTCGTCGGAATACGGAAAGCAGAGCGAAACGGTCCGGATCTTCTAGCTATCGGCATAGAGCGTCTATCTAGAACGGCGGTACGGATCGGTCTGGTCTGGTCTGGTCTGGTGTCTAGAAGCTCGATCGCCGCCGTTTTATAGTTGATCGCGCTAGGATTGATACGGCGGCGATCGAGCGGCGCGCCTATCGGCGCGAGGTACGGTGACGGCGCGTGATCGCGGCCGCGTGCGCTAGCGGCAGCGCATGATCGCCGCGGCGCGTGATAGCGGCGGCGCGTGATAGCGGCGGCGCGATCGTTTCTGTACTTTAGAGTGGCGCAAAGCGCCGTTCTTCGGCCTGACAGCTGGTCGGTCGGGCCGGTAGTAACGAGGTGCATCTGCGCCTCGTTACAAAATGATACTTGAAATCTGCTCTATACATTTGTAAAATGCTCTGCACGGTTCTCTTTTGCCGAAATAAGTATTATATAATCGCAAAATAAATGTTACAAAATCGACTGATTTTGACAGAACATGTTGACAGAAAATCAGTCGCACACACACATACACACACATAAACACACAAATACAACGCGCGCGCGTGCGCTAATATTTATATGTGTGATTCTTGTAATATTTACATGCTTACATACGTTATATACCTTTGTAAGAAATTTTTGCAAAAATAGTTAAATGAAACAGCTTGTAACGTATGCATTCACGCACACGTATACCAATGGTACACCAATGGTTTTTATTATATTTATGTTGCAGAAAATGCGTCCTGTAATAATGGGTCCTGCTAGCTTAAGACTTATGCAATTGTTTTAACTGTGATTGCGATCTTTAAGTCATGTTTATTTATGCCAACAAATGGAATATTTTGTTTCGAGTTCAAAATTTTGTATGTTTAACGATTCTGCATCCTACGTTATACATCACAACTTTATGAATTTCATAGGCTCTTTTCATAGAAAAACACTCTTCTCAGAAATATAGAGAATATTCATACAAATAGGTGTATATTGCACTTACAAACATTTTTTATGATATGACGTAAACTATAGGTTGCAAAAAATTGCTGATTAATATTAATATAAATAATATCTGGTTTTCAGGAATATATGTAAATATATTTTCAATTTATAACTGTGTTGTATATATAACAGTTACAGAAAACATTTGATACGACCTACGAAAAGAAAAATTATATATGGACAGGCGCGGGAGGGCCTCTCAAACATCGTGCCAGAGGTAAGTCACCGTGGGGTTTTAGCCGGTAAGAGTCCGGCACTACCCCGGCAAAGAGCCGGGGTGTCCATGAAGATTTCCACAAGTAAAAAAAAAAATTAAAAATAAATGGAAAGAAAGGTAACGCCGATCTACATGCAATGTTAATTCATGCAGGTCTATTGACGCAGCGAGTCGAAATCGATTGCTATTAGT